AATTGGATTGTACAAAATATCCTGAAGTCGCTATAGCAACTTTCGTTCTCTGTAATTTTAAATTAAAAATATACTTAAGAAATAGTTTCAACTCGAATTATTTCTAGTCATTTAATGATCGTTAATATCATTAATATGTAGAACAATATTATCTCGTTTAAAAAATCACAATAGATACTGTATTTACATCAAAAAATACGTTGTCTGTTATTCTTTGAGTTACATGTATAGGTATATATTTATTTATATATTCTACAATAAAATACAGTTATGTATATACATTTTCAAATCTTTACAAATAATAATATTTGCATAAATTCTTTCGCTTTTTTAAGGCTAACTTGATTCTTTTAAAAAGTATTAATTAACTATAACTCAGTCGTTATTTCGTCCTGCGGTCGAAAGCCTAATTTGTAAAATTCATCTTCCAACCACAATGAACTTGCATTTAGATCCGATATTAAATTACCACTTTTAAGTGTATTAAAGCTACTGCCAAATGGATCGGATGGTCGGGGTTCTTCAAATTCATGTAGACTAATCAACGAACCGAAAAGATGCATTTTATGCGTTGCAGTTCCTGTTGACCCTGGTGTATTTAGATTTGTGGTAGACTGCAGCATATTCTGTCGAAATATGCTGCTACTACCAACACCATTTCCATCAGTATTTTTCTTATTGTAATTTGTCGTATCGAATTCATCATTAGTACCCGCATGCTGTGATGTTTGAAAGAAGTCAATTAATTGACCTACTTGTGGTTTATATCGTTCTAGAGCCTGCTCCGACCATGCATACAAACGACTCCAGTCGACGGGTGGCGCTGGTATCAATTCAATTGGTCTATTCAGTAATATAAGTATTTTTGCAAGATCACGCACAATCGGTCGATATGAATTGGCAGCTGCTATTTCACCCGACAAATAAAGCTTACGTATTTGTCTGCGTGTATCGTTCAACATAGCCAAAAAATACTCAGCATTAGGACGCATTTCATTTAATTGACGCAGAAAATCTGAACGATCCATAGTGTGTTCATTTATTAATTTCTGTTTTATGGTTTTACGACGTCGTCTTTTACGCACGAGCATCACAGCAACAGCTAATAGTGAAAAACACACCAAAAAACCGCCAAGCATGCCAGCTAGAGCAGCCATCAATGGACCTGAGTACCCAGTGGAGACACAAACACGTCCCATAAATTCCGTATGTGCTGACCACTGATCAATGTAACCTGATGGGCATTTCTCAACACATTGTCGTGTATCTGTTACTAGGTAGCTAGGGCATTTTATACAGCCTTCATTATTGCAGCGTAAACAATGCGAACTCGTCGTAGTTGGGCAACCTATAATATAAAAACAAAATTATGTTATTTTCTGTAAATATTTGAATATTTAAATTAGGAAATCTTAAGATATAACTTAATGAAAAAATAAACTTAAGTGCTTAAGTTTATAACTTATATCATTAATATAACTTAATGAAATAAAATATTTTTAAAGAACTGATGCTTTAATACGTTTAGAGCGAGTGAAATACACGGCTTCAATATAATATCGGATGTTTTCTTTAATTGCATGAGAACTTAAAATAATAATGGAAGATAGAAATATAGAATAAATGTTGGCATCAACATTGGCTTTCAATGTTTCCAGAGTTACTAGTTTGTCGCCATAAAACAATGATTTAACATAGCGCCATAAAAAACAATTGAAAAGCGTTAACAGGACTTATTCTGGAAATAAATTTGTTACTAAATTGATTTCGTAATAAATCGATTGTTAAGAGCCGTCTTGTCGAAACCAAATTCTGTCGATGTTTAGATGATTAATCTTTGAAAACAAAAATTCAGTCAGTATGTCTTGATACCGCTCACCATTCACTGTAACGGCATCTTCTTCCTTATTTCAAAAGAAATCAGGGCCGATGATGCCGTGTTAACCACAAAAAACAGTCAATTTTACTGGATGTAATGGTTATTCGTTAACGGCTTCAGAATTATCTTTGCTCTTTGGCCAGATTCAAATGAGCCCAATGCGCAAAAATGCGACGCAAACGATGGCCTTTTGGCTTCAATTCTTGTATAAGCTGTATTTCATAGGTAGGTGGTAAACCAAGATCCTTACGAAAAATTTTCCACGTAGAGTCGAAGGACGAAGGCCAACAAGTTGAGAACGGTGATGAATCGACATTTCGGTGTTTTTTTTCAACATTTCTTACTATAGCAGCAATATTCTCCTCGGTTTGTCTTGTTGATGGTTTGATTGCAAAGAGTAAAATTAGTGCGAAAACAATCAATAATTGCACAAATTCATTGATCACTAGGCCGATCATGTTCACCGTAAAATGGACAAAGTTTTATATAAACTTCGGGAACAGATTAATTTTTTTTTTTAAAGTAAATTTTCACAATTTTGGAAGCGTTGTTCTATCGTTGAACAAGTCATAAAGAATTGCCAAACCTTACTGAACAGATATGCCAGCCAACACAGTTCAACATTCTCAGCTGTCAAACCATAGTTATCGATGTTGATAGTTTTCATCCAGCTAAAAAAAACACCCTTCACTTAACTTAAAATTGAAATTATAAGCTATAATTTAAATTAAGGCCTTTATTCAATAAGAATTATTATTAATATTTTGACTTAAAAACGTTGTCTTAAATACCAAGATGATAATTGCACCCATCTCCGAAATTTTTTTTCGATGTTTTGTTGTGGCATATTTTCTTCATTTAGGTACTTAACTCAATGATTTTCTTGGTAACTACAAATATTGAATCTTAATTTAGTTTAGTGAACATCACATCGTATAGGATTTCCGTTTAATGAAGCCATGAAAAGGCCGCTATACAACATATGATTATATTAGAGATATGTGTAAGAAAACCAAGTGTACATGGCAAGACAAACAAGTGATAGATGCAAGACAAGACATTTCCTGCGTAAAATTTGTCAATTTTCTCTGCTCGGAGCTAACATTGCATACTAAAGACAGTCTTAAAGCAGATTAGCATATTGGTCACAAATTAAATTTACATAAGAAAATGAGTCTAATTGAGTTACTAAGTTAGTTGACAATATGCAAAAGACAACCAAAGACAAGCAAAGTCAATTTGGTTTAAAAGCTTACCATTTTCACATAGCAGGTCTTACATTATTCCTTCTACCTGTTTTATTTGTTGGTTCACTTATTTGCTAAACATTAACAATACTGAGACGCTCAACACTAGTCAGAAATGACGACTCAATCCAGTTGCACTGTCAGAATAAAATTGTTAATTTGTGTAAAAAACATTGAACGACAACTGTTTAGTCAAATGTGAGACGTACGAATTCTAGGAATTTTTTATTAGCCATAAAATGTTAAAATTATGTTGAAGCCATTATACAATTAATGCTGGAAAAAATCATTAGACGTATTGGGAACTGTTGAAATGGTGTGAGTATGTTTTGCAGTTAATATGTATAAGCAAGTAAGTGGTAAGTATAAATAAAGAAAATTATTTTGAAAATCATTTCTAAATATCAGCATTTAGAAAATTGGAACGTCGACTACATAAATCACTACAAGCATGCGTATGCGATTCAACTACAAATCGTTTTTAAAGAGCTCCATAAAGATACCGCCCGATCGATGGATCGTTTCACGCCAAAATATTTTTGTGTTCACATAAATTATAATTGTATGAGTGGAGCAGAAATCACTGCAAGATTCCCCCACGTAAGCTTCGGTCTCTCTCGTGGTCCCGCAGTCTCTTTTTATGCCCCACTTGGTTTTCAATTTATTTCAATTTTAATTTATTTTCCTTTATTTATTTTTGCTTTTCTTCTGCTTATTTTCGCTTACTAGTTGCTTGCTAAAGTGTCTCAGTTGTGTTCTGCGGCTTAATAAAGTATCTCATGATTATAGCCACAAACCAGCGACAGACAACCTAAGCAATAACAACCACAATTCAGTTTACGATTTGCGAGTATGTGCTCTAATATCGTTGCTTATTACTTCTCGGATTTACCTTAGGGGACTATATGCCGTCATTATGAATTTTATTGGTATTAACTTGTTTATACGATAATAAGCTGAAAAATTATGCGATAAACACATAATTGGAAAACACAGGAAGTCTGCATAAAGAAGTCTGCAACACATCTGATCTATACGTGCAGGAGATCCTCTCGAAGTGTTTTGTAAATTGAAAGAAACACATCAAGAATTGATTTTAAAAGTTGCTTATTAGTTTCTTTTATTTTTACACTTTTCTTACTTAAATGAACTCGTTGATCTGTAACCACTAGACAATGAAAATAAACTAAAATTGTACTCTTCTTGGAATTTTATTTTAATATATTTTATATTTTAACTAAACTACACTGCAAATCACTTGTTTAAGAATAAAAAGTTTTACGTCAATACATCAGTATGTATGGTATATAATTTTTTTATAGGTATAGGTGTACTCAAACATAACGTCTTGTAGTTTTTTTATTAACAAGGTCACGCAGTAGACAATAAAATCATGTAGTGGGATATTTTTATTCATCTAAACATAACATTTAAAGAACTCAATTATCAAGATTATCATAATACCCTACATATCCGCTCCAAAACAATAAACTATTTTAATCTTCTTGAAGGTGAGTGTTTACTATTAAGTAAAATAATAAAGTAATATTTTCAAGTAGTATTCCCCACAGAGTTTTAAAATATATTGCTGTGCTATATTTTAATCTTAACAAACCTACTGAATATTTCATTCCACAATTTTTATTGACACCCTACACATCAGGACGGGTTCATGTTCTAAGAGGTCTAAATTGAAATACGCTCAACATCGTACATATGCTAGTTCTATAAAAGTTCTATAAATAAGAGTTCTATAAAAGGTATATATATACATAGCTGACATACATTAATAAAGCTTGGATTAAATTATTCTGAGGACAAGTTATAAATACCGATATATAAATGATAGTATATAAATCAGTAGCGACGATTTACCTGTAGAAAATATTAGTGAATATTATTATTATTACGCACATATTGTTATTGCACCAATACGCCTAACTGAAATGCTGATATCATTCTTATATTCTATACTTCAATGTGGAACAGCCAACATAGTTATGCTTTCCTTAAGTGTACTACTAGATCTAAACTGCGAGAAATTCAATTGAGGAGATGTTAACTACATCTGAAATAATTCATTATATTAAAATATCAAGACAACTAATATGCTGTAAGCGATATAGTGGCTACTCTGAATAATCATTGAGATGGAATATACATCAACTAATACAGACGTGAATAAATGGACTTTTCAACGGAGGAAAATAACTGGTAAAAATGTAAATATTTAGGAATTCTAACCACTAACTGGGAAAAAATACAAGTTATGGTAATTGTATATAATATTTTTAAATAAACATGTAAATAATGTAATTACATATGCAAATTAATATTAAGCACTATGCACTGCAACTAAATTTATTATACGGTAACGCAATGTGACAAAAGACTTATCGGCCAATAGGCCGATACAACCTAACCAAACTGAACTACACTAAACAACCAACATACAAAAGACATTCTGGGTTTTTTGCATGATTACCTGCCTTGTTGGCAGAAACCAACGGTGTTCTAAACACAAGTGTCAAGGTAATGCGCCGATAGACGCTGTATTGAAATTTCAAAGAATTCCGCCAGTACAAATTAAAGTTCTGTGTTGAACATAACTTCTACCTTGGTAAGAAGCGATACCCATCCTACCTCTGCTGATCTTTGGCTTACAACACCCGGTGTGAAAACGCTATTTCACGCCGAATGCAAGTAAATAAATACGATCATTCTTCTGACAGACTTACCAACACCGCGTTATCAAATCTCAGAATGGTTACAGGCTCCTCGGGGAGGAGCTTATTGCTTACTCTGATGAAGTGATAAACAATAATCTAGTCATGGCGCAAAGAGGGGTTTTGAAAAAACCTCGCAGTTAATAGAGAGTATAAGTGCTCAGGTGCACTGACTCAACTAGACTCAACATAATATACAGACAAGCAAACAGATAGTTAAAGAAACGGTTATCGTTTGATCAATTTATATTACCATTTATAAAATGGTGTGTTCAACATCACTTTTATTTAATTCAAAGTATTTCGGCAATCCTTTTATACTGTATATGTAAAATTTATAGGATGAACAATAAGTAAGTAGTGAAAATATATATAATTTATTATATTATCTCAAACACAACAACAATAGTATGTATTTAACAATTCAATTAATGAATTGTTAAATTGTAAAAAATATTGAGTTCATTACATTTGTTAAAACTATCTTAAATTTATTAATATTTATTTAATAATATTTATTTAAATTTATTATATTTAATTTTGTTATGAGAAATCACCTTTTTTTTGAATTACTAGATTTAAAGAGAAAATCTTATTCTCAAAAAGGGGTTTAACATGTTTTAGTATTCTATTTAGAATTTTTAACATAATTCTTGTAGAGCCAATGTTTGCTGGTATGCTGGTAACCTGTCGTTTCATCATCTTAACCTGCGCAACTATCTAAAGAATATGTGATCGTCTGACATAATATAATGCATTTAATTGATGGAAGGTAAGACTTCTAGTAGGATTATTTGTGAATGACCAGTTTCGAAGTGGATGCTGAGACGAAAGCTAATATTAGGAACTAATATAAATGCATAATGCAAATAAGTATGTTATATATTCTCATATATTAGGGGCAATTTTAGACAGCAAGTCTCTTATTAGGGTTTGATTGAATGTTATAGTATGTTACATGTAATATTTCGATAGATGAAAGTTAGTTAGTCTTTATAGCTAGTGTTTTTTACATGAACTGCGTTAATTGTTTATATGATCTTATACAAATTTTAGCAAGAGAATTGATGATTTGACAGCTAATATCTAGCTAAATTATTTCACCTGTCATACAAAATGTAATGCTATGATTATTATTTAATATTAAAAATATTGCAACATCAAGATTAGAATTTATTTTGGAAGCACATAACTTTATTTCTAAAAAGAGGTTAACCTTTTCTAATTGCTTAGTTCATTCATACATGATTATCATAAACAAGCAACTTTCTCTTACGACTTTAATATCATTAATGATTCCTAAATATATTTATTTTTAAATTTTTCTTTATATATCCGCTGTTTTTAAATAATCAAAATGCACATTGTTTATTTGTTAATGGATTATTGAGAATGAAACGTGTTAAAACAGCACTTTTAAGGCAGTCTGTAAATTTAACTAGAAATCAAAACAACACTTTTAAATTAATTAGCCATACAAAATTTCGGGTTTCAGTACCCGAAATCTTAAAAGAAAGCGTGACACATCGTATAACACTTTACGTGAGATTTATTTAGATACCATAAACATTCAAATGACAACGATCTTCCGTACGATGATCAGTGCGACTGAGATTAAGCCTTTGTACGAGATCTACACTGGATAGCGCGTTCCTAAAAGACGGCACAATTAAAAATGTGTCACTTGGCAGAGACACAACTCGAAACTTAATTATTTTATTTGTTTATTTTAAACGGTTTGTGCATGGAATGGTATGTTCAATTATATGTAAGTTGAATATACGTATATTTATTTTCCGAATGTACATGTTTGAATAGGAAAATGGTAAACTAATAACCAATGTGTGTTCTAATATCAATAAGATTTAATTTGCTTAGACTTTTACCTAGAAAATATTTCCAAATTGTGTTAACTTTTTTTAGAAGACAAGGCAAAACCTAACTTCAAGTTTTAAACTTATCTTAATTATATATTTAAAAATAAGTGAGTATATTATATTTAATTCAAAATCATCAAAAATATAATTAGAAACTTAAAAGTGACGAACATATTTCTATTAACTGTAAGATCAATGACCACTTTAAAGAATTATACTCATTTATACATAAATATAGGTGTATGTATTCAAAAATGTATACACTCAATACATACATATAAGTATATATGTAGAATTGCTTAAATTAAATCTTTGTTCATAGAGGTTTTTGCTATATGTAAAGTAACACTTAATTACAGGCTGTTTGTGGGTTTTTAACGATGATTGAATAATATTTACTTGTGCTCATGGTTTTTTTCATTAATATTTTGTAAGTAGTTTCTTTTTATACTTTTAGCTCATGGCCAATTTTGATTAATTGCCTCTTATTTCGTTATTAAAGAAACTATTGTTTTTTTTTTGTTATAAGATTTAGATTTTTACATTTGAGGTACAAATTAAAGATTGTTTTAATAATAAATGAAATTAACTTGAAAAATAATGTAATAACAAATACCAATATAGTTTGGTTACATGTAAAACAGAACATTTTCTAACTTCATTTAAATCTTTTTTAATAACATTTAGACTGATAAAAAAAGTATAAATCCATAGATGACACACTGGCATACTTCACTCCAAAGTCAAGCCAGCATTAAACTGAGAATCTGGCGAATCTTGTCCAAAACGTCCAAAAACGGAATAGACAACTTGCCAGGTTATGATATTTTGGGATACGCATGGAATTTTGTGCATTCACTACCTTGAAAAAGGCCACCCATCAATACCGATCTCTTCACGCACAAAATCTATTTAAAGATTTCAAAACACTAATTTTTATAATATATGTATGAGCATTTACATATGTATTTTATGACTAACTTCGATCCTCAGTTGACAAGTTTATAAATTAAATATTAAACATTGTCTTAACGACATGGAAAAAATACTATTTAAGAAAAATATGAATAAATTATATGAATTAAATTATATGAATTAAATAAATACAATAAAATTTTTTTCAACATCTATCTGAACATATATTTGAACGTACATATGTCCTTTATATGTATACACAAAAATGTTAAACTTTTTATAGTCATGATTAACTTTCATTAGCATTTAACGATTGATTATCATATAATCTGCATGAAATTTCTCAATTAGCACCTTTACCCTAAGGGAGCTATCGAGTGAAAAAAGAATGAAAAAATTTATAAGATTAAATCAACAAGTTAAAGAATAAGTGAAGTACTCGTAGCTTACTGCTCTTACATACCAAGTATCTTTAAGTTAACACAGAGAAAAAGCTTGAGACAATATTTGAGTAGTTCAATTTTAAATATATTGTGTAAAAACCATTAAAATTGTTTATATTCACTTGAATATTGTAAACAATTTTTGTTAAATAAAATATTTTTTTTCTGTTGGTTCATTAAGAAAAGAATCTATATAATCACAAAGGTTATTGGCTTTCGTGGTAAGCCACAAAACAAACCA